TAGTAATGTTTGAAGGTTGCCCATTTATTTCAAACTGCGATCAAAACTGACTGGAACTACTTGTGGGGTAAATTGTATTATTGTTATTCTTAAACCATACAATCAATAAGAATCAAGAATTTCAGGAAAAAAAAAATATTCATAGCAAAACCAATACAACAATACAATTTGCATTACATTACCATTAAATATGCCTGCAAATAATAATGTACAGCACATATTGTAAAAGTAAAACACTCAATGCATCAAGAAAAATATTTAGAATAATAAAAATAATAATATTAATAATAATAGTAGTAGTAATATTATACTATTATAATCTAGGATCTAGCATGGATAGATTAAAAATATAAACATAAATAATTCGAAGAAATAAATTAATAATTATTTTAATAATTCATACCAATAATACAAAATAATAATCAGTGTTATACTATTGATTATTACTCATGCTATAATACCATAATATTAATTATTTTAATATTAAAAAAAACATTTTTTGTATATGCTAATGACTGGATGAGCATTAACCCTTTAACTACCCTTTAAACTACCCTAAATATTTTTTTTTATTATTTGAAGTATGCCATAATTTTTACAATAAAACCAAAATCAAGTGTAATGGTGCAACAGGGTTATGTTTGTTTGATTTATTTATTTATTTATTTTTTATAAATCAACAATACTGTGTATAAACCATTATTTAAAACAGTCAAAATGTGGTCAACTATTAGGTAGAGCAGGCAGTTAAAGGGATAAAAAGACAATATACTCATGTATGTAATCATACTTTGATATGCAAAAATCTATAACGCATCTCATACACATCTATTAAAAATGTAAATAAATACAATTCTGCACAAGTGCAAATCATATCCACAGACATGCCATGTCCAAAAGGAGTGTCCACATTTTTTAGGAAGTTCATACAAAGAGCTGAAGGAATGTAAACATCCTGAACAAGGTTAAAAATACCACAAATCTGCTGACAACACAAGACATGGCTGTAGATTTCAAGCTCAAAAGACTGAAGCAAAGAAAAACAAAACCAAGCCAAAAATACCAAGGACAAGTGTTAATGGCACGGGAGCGGGCAGAGCAGTCATCAGTGTGGCACACGTGCTGCATCACAGCCTGAAAGTCAAATCTGACTGCTGGCACTTAAAGCTCACTGTAATCCACTGCTGGACAAGATCAGCACATGCCTGCTTTCAGTACTGACGTGACTGAGAGACACTCACAAAAATAAAATCACAACTCTAAAAGAAAAATGCACTGTAACTAAAATATGTTATTTTGGTAGTTAAACTGCCCTTCAGCATTCCTACTTCTCTCAATGGCATCTAAAGTTCTAATGTCATGCAAGATTAGATCCACACAATCCTCCATAAAGCCATTCCAGACAACACACACGCAATCATGCACGCACCCAGACAACCATACACCATGAGACGAGACATGGTTCACAAGAACATGATGAGATTTTTTAACTTTAAAGAAATCCTCATTGACAAAATGCAGTCAGGCCAACACAGTCAAATTCAGGCTTGATAGTATATATTGAATTTGTGAATAAAAATTACAAAATGTAGTTCTATTTTTTAATATTACTTCTATTTTGATAAACTATTTGAAGTTATAAATCTGTAAACAATGCTAAATGTTGAGTTGAGTAGACTATTAGTACCCGTAGGTTGATTTTTTTTGCAGCAAAGTTTGGCATTTGATACAAACAATTAAATCACACATATGCATATTCAATTCAATTCAATTCAGCTTTATTTGTATAGCGCTTTTACAATGTAGATTGTGTCAAAGCAGCTTCACATAAATGGTCATAGTAACTGGAACAGTGTAGTTCAGTTTTTAGTGTTTAAGTTCAGTTCAGTTCAGCTCAGTTCAGTGTGATTTAAAATCATTACTGAGAGTTCAAACACTGAAGAGCAAATTCATCGATGCGTAGCTCTACCAATCCTGAACCATGCGAGCCAGTGGCGACAGCGGAGAGGGAAAAAAATTCACCTGAAAGGAGTGAAGAAAAAAAACCTTGAGAGAACCAGACTCAGCTGGCCACGACCATTTTAATTTGTCCGCTGGCCAAAAGTCTTGTGCAAAGCTTCAGTCACCGCGGTGGAAGCTGGAAGCTGGCCTCAGCAAAGACTCGTCTGTCCCTGGAGCGTCGCTGGCATATGTGAGTCTGCAAGACTCTTTTATTCGCAGTATTACTTTCTATTGATGGCTTAAACTTTTTCTCCCATTTTTAGTTTACTGATCAAGTCATGTCAGATTTATTAATGCAGTGTATCATCTGATTTTCATTGAGCAGGTGTAATATTCATTAATATGAATTATTCGAGTTTTTTACTAAGGTGCCGCTGTCATCAATAATCATTAGTCATCATTTTGGTCAAGGGGCTGCGAGAAAATAAATACAAATAGTGGAGCAATGGCAAAATAATGAATAAAAAGAGCGAGGCTATGGTCAAATGAATAAATAAATGAAAAGAGTTTAACTGCTGAGAGAGCAAGCAGCTAGGGACACCGGCCCCCTCGGCCAAAAAACTGACTGGCCCAGCGTGAATTCTACCTGTCCTCCCGATTAGCCAATCCGGGTCTGCTTACTAGCACAGGGCAGTGTGGCTATAAAACCATGTGCACAAAGTGGCACAAGTGCTGACGAGAGTCACCTGAGTGCCACACCGATCTGGAGTGCCAACAGAAGATGATGACTTTATGTTTAGATTTGGTTTCCGTTTAGACGGCAGTCATCTATGAGGGGCTAAACACAACCTAACGTGACAAATGTGGTCAAAACGACCATCCTTGAAGCCAATCTAGTGATGCTCTGGGCTATATTTATCCAGCAGTGTCTCATGAACATCTGCCTGTCATGAGAAGCTCTGTGACTGGAGAAGATGAGGAGGTAAGTCTCCTTGAAAGGACGTCCTGGAATATTCATGCACAACTGGCACTGGCTGTGTATGTGTGTTGAGGAGGGGGCATCGTGGGACACACACACACAGAGGCAAAGTACAACCATTCCTGTAGGCCACAAGCTGGAGCAAAGCAGGGTGTTAATGAACACAGCCTACTGACAAATCTGTCGCGAACACTTAAATACAAGCACAGACACAAGCACACACACATATTTGTATCGTGGTTATTAGTGTTGTCTTGTCTGATGTTAAATGTACCTCCAGGAAAACGTAAAATTTAATTAGTAAAGAAATTAGTAATTATGTAAATCACTAATAAACCAACTCAGAAAAATTCAAATAATGCTCTAAAATCACAACAAAGTAGTTTGTAGAATGCAAACTTTCTATCAATACAATTAATGTACATATAAATACCTAAAATTACTAAAACTATTAATATTATTTATTATTATGTTAACATCATCTTTATTAATGTGCATAAAATTACATTTCTAAACATGAGTAATATTACTGTTATTCATAACATTGAAATGTACTATCAATAATGCTAATAATAAACATTACATTGATGTTAATATTAAAATGCTACTACAGGTGTTACTCAGGCCAGGAGCTGGTCAGGTGTTCACCGCGGTATTCACTCATCACAGCTGATGGACAGCGGTGCAAGGAGGACCACCCATGTGCCACATATGGTCATGGCTACTACTGGTGCAGGACCAGCGCTGAGGAAACAAGCCCCTGCAGCCCTCCGCTGTGGAGGAGTAAGGCTAAAAATGGAAAGTACTGCCGTAGTAACCATGCCTGTGCAAAATATGGTCAAAGCGAGCCGTGGTGCTACACAGATGATGAAGGCAACTCTGACAAGTGCTGTACTTCAGATGACTGCTACTCAGCTGTGAATGGCAAAACCTGCAGGTCTGATCACGAATGTGGCTACCATGGCTACTCCTTCCTGTGGTGTTACACTGATGATAACAACAACTGGGAATATTGTTGCACAGACTGTGATGATGGTGGTAATACTGATAACACTTGTGTTAACACTTATGCTTCCCCATTTTCAAATTATGCTCCTGCTTGGATGTAAAAAAAAACTCTCTTGATTTCTTCCTTAAACAAACCTATTTTGTGCTTGTCTAGAAAATGCTCCTTGATTTAAGAATTGTAAAATATTTAGACTAGAAACAAGACAGAAACTGTAAATAAGAAAAGCATTTTTGGAGTGCAGACATCTGACAAATAGAAAGTCAAACAAGATTAGAAATACACTGGAATAAATATTCATAAATAAGCAATTTTCTGCAATATTTTATACTTTGCTAACTATTTGCTCTAAGATTCTATTCAATTCAAATTGTTTTTCTTGGTTGTTGTTTTCCGTGTTTTGACCTTTAACCTGTTCAAAGTGATTTTCATTCTTTACTGCCTGTCCTGACCATTTGCCTGTTTTTAGATTACGCACTTGGATTGTCTTTTACACTGTACAGTATATGCTGGTTTTCCACCCCTGCCAGCCTGAACATTGTGTAATAAAGCCGCATTTAAAAAAAACCTGTCTGCACGTCTACCAATTCCAAAATAATACACCAAACCAATCCAGAAAATGTAGTACATTACACTCATAAAAATGACAATAAAAGTCACTTATTTTTTTACAACTTTTCAAGGTTAAAAGTTGTTGGACAAAAGATCCCATGATTTTTCTTAAAAGCAGAAATTAAAAATAAATCATGAATCACAAAATACAGAAAACTTCTAATTTACAGATATTTTTACAGTGTAGTTGTGTGTTTCTCTTTAGTGGCTCTGCTAGATAAACGCAGGTGTTCGCCATTAGTGCTTAATCATCACTTAAATAATCATTTAATTGTCTAATTAACTCAATTGTATAATTATCTCAATAACTTTGACTCTGCAGTTGAACTACTTAATTCAAAGATTGTAGAGTACACCAGGGGCCTGTTTCAGTAAGGAGGTTCAACCAACTCGGAGTTTAAACTTAGTAAAAAACATTAGTGTGCTATTTGGGACAACACTACATACATATACTATCCTGTTGAGTGTGTAAGTGCATAAGTACATAGTGCATAGTGTATAGTGTGCCATTTGGGACGCAGCTATGTACTGCAGCTCCGCCCGCTGGCGCTCACATGGATGCGCACTTCCGCTTTGCGCACGTCCGCTTCCGTCCTTTCCTTTCCTCACGTGTGTTGTGAGAGCTCCATGTCCAGCCGCTCCTCAACATCCAGCATGCCGTCAAAGAGTCTCCCAGAATCGGAAGCCGAGAGAGACCACCTGATGGAGGACATTCACAACGGCCTGCAGCTGCTCAAGGTCAGCGATAATACACGGTCTAACTCTACTGGGATCATTAGCGCTGAGTGTGTGTGTGGAGATGCGCGCTAATGCTAACTGCTAACACAGAGAGACACATGTACACACACACACACACACAGAGAGAGAGAGAGAGAGGGACTGTAGTTATATCTGTTGTGTTATAGTGTGTTTTGTGTGTCTGTATCTGTTGTGTTATAGTGTGTTTTGAGACTGTCCATCTGTTCTCCACGTGGACACTGTTTCTGTGTATATGACGTGTGTGGTCACGTGTTATTGTTTGTGTGTCTGTATGTGTGTGCGACTGTGCGTGTACCGAAACACATCAAACCAAAAACCTCTCTCAGACCTGCATGAGACTAATTAAACGCTGTTTTAAGCATAAAGCAAGTAAATATGTTACGGTCTGCGTATAAAACAATACAGGTCTATGTAATGTCACCATTTACCACACACACACACACAGTTTGTATCCAAAACTGAGCAAACCCTGACAAATACTCCTATAAAGTCTCATTAAGGACGTGCTCATAAGGAAAACTGGTGTAAAATAAATTGTAAAAAATGTATTAGAAAACAAAATTAAAGTTTAACAGTCCGTTTAAATCAACAGGGGTTTATGTAAGCTCCAGACAGCACTGTGTAAGCGCAGCAGTTTATATCGATTTATTATTGAAGTTCAGAGATGCACTTATTCACCTCAGGAGTTTCCCTAAATGTAACGGTGAAAGTAAACATCACCATGAACATCTTAATAAAGGCATAAACACATTAAGGGTGTTTATATGCTGAAATTCATATTAAAATCTGTGTTATTTGTATTGTGCAGTGTATATTTGTAAGGCTTTTGTGCGTGTTAAGTAAATATATTGGTAAGGGGAAGATAATGCATCACTGTATGAAAGCTGTAAAGTTTCAATAATTTTCCATTAATAATGCGTGAAGGTCATGTGACCATCTGGAAGAACGCAGCATCTCATTCCTGAGCGGACGCGCTCTCTGCTCTTGCGGTCCCCCAAGTTCGTTCTTCCGAGGTGACCTGGCTAGACTAGTACAGATCGGTTCTCTGTGATCTTGGAATTGAGGAACAGCCTATCCTGGGAACTATTGCTTACAGCACAGGTGTCCATCTCAGTTCCTGGAGGGCCGCAGCTCTGCACAAAAGTTCGTACCTTAATTAAACACACCTGATCAGACTAATCGAGACCTCCAGGTAAGTGTGTTGGAGCGGAGTTGGAACTAAACTGTGCAGAACTGCGGCCCTCCTGGAGTTTGACACCCCTGGACTACACCATGGAGAACACTGATCCACAGATGAAGATGTGAAAGTCATGCTGGTGGACAGACGTGTCAAATAACAGTAGTGCACCACTCCATTGTGCGCGTGTGTGTGTGTGTGTGTGTGTGTGTGTGTGTGTGTGTGTGTGTGTGTGTGTGTAAATGCTGGAGAACTGACTGCAGATGCTGAACGGATTAGATTGATCAATCAGCAGATCAATAGTGTGTTCAGATGCGCAGCAGCACACTGAGACTGACACCTGCTGGACACTACAGAGAATACACTATTAACAGCACAATCCCCACACACACACACTAAACACTGATCACACCTCTGTGTGTGTACACTGATATATTTATCCCGCTTGGCTGAACAGGCTATAATGCACCTCTTAATGGATTGTGTGTGTGTGTGTGTGTGTGTGTGTGTGTGTGTGTGTGTGTGTGTGTGTGTGTGTGTGTGTGTGTTGCAGAAGAAGAAGAAGAAGCTGAAGGAGCAGCAGCAGACGGCAGAAACAGACGAGTGTGAGTCTCCTGCTCCTAAAAAGAGGAAGATGAAGATTTCCAGCGACACCACAGACCTGAACGGAAACACAGACACACACACACTCAAGGTACTGATCTGAGTTCAGTCACAAAGATGATGATGATGATGATGATGATGATCTGTGCTTCTCACACTCACTGAAACACTCCACAGGTCAAGAAGAAGAAGATCAAGCTGGAGGAGGAGGAGGAGGAGACGACGAGCACTCTGCTGGAGAAGAAGAAGAAGAAGAAGATCAAGCTGGAGAAGGAGGAGATGATGGAGGAGACGAACACTCTGCTGGAGAAGAAGAAGAAGATCAAGATGGAGAAAGAGGAGGAGAAGATGATGAACGGAGACTCACACACACACTCCACAGAGCCTGCAGCGTCCAGCACAGACTCCGACAGCGAACAGGAAAAAGTGTGTTCATGTGTGACGCTTCTGTGCGTGTGTGTGTGTGTGTGTGTGTGTGTGTTGTTCTGATTTTGTGTTTGTGTTTTACTGATTATTCTTTCTTATCTACACTCTGATTGTGTGTGATTGTGTCTGTCTGTGTTTGTGTTACTTTGAGTGTGTGTTTGTTTTGCTCTAATTTGTGTGTTCATGTGTGTGTGTGTGTGTGTGTGTGTGTGTGTGTGTGTGTGTGTGTGTGTGTGTGTGTGTGTGGCCGATGTGTGTGTGGCCGATGTGTTCATGTCCTCAGGAGACTCCAGAGCAGAGAGAAGGAGCTTTCTCCAACTTCAGGATCTCACCGAACACCATCAAACTGCTGCAGGGTACACACACACACACACACACACACACACACACACACACACACATTCTTAAACACACACACACACATACACACTCTTAAACACACACACAACATGTCCATTGCTAACTGAGTGTCCTGACTCTTCGCTCGTCCTCTGCATGTCTGCAGCTCGTGGCGTCTCGTACCTGTTTGACATCCAGGTGAAGACGTTTAATGCAGTGTATGATGGGAAGGATCTGATTGGTCAGGCCCGGACCGGCACCGGGAAGACCTTCTCCTTCGCTGTTCCTCTGGTGGAGAAGCTGCAGTCTGGAGACCAGGAGCGGCGGAGAGGACGACCACCAAAGGTCTCACACACACACACACACACACACACACACACACACACACACACACACTACTTTTTAAATATTCAATAATAATCTAATAAATAATATAAACAGTTCCTGCCGTCCTGTTCAGCTCATATTTGATGTTTCTCAGATGCAGGAATTGTTCACAGTGTTTCCTCTAATATTTGTTCTTCTTATTAGTTTTATTTAGGCTAGAATAAAAGCAGTTTTAATAGTGTTAAAGTCATGTTAAGCTCAATATTATTGGCTCCTTCAGCAATATTAGTGTTGGATTGTCTCCAGAATAAACCACTGTTATACAATGACTTGCCTAATTACCCTAACTTTACCCTAATTACCCTAGTGAAGCCTTTACATGACACTGTAAGCTGAACACTAGTGTCTTGAAGAATATCTAGTCTAATATTATGTGCTGTCATCATGGAGAAGAGGAATCAGTTATTATAGATGAGTTATTAACTCTGTTATGATTAGAGATGTGCTGAAAAATAATCCTCAATAACACTTAAAATAAATATCTAAAAAAATATTCCCCAATATATGTGTATATATGTGCATGTGCAATAGTGTGCAATAGTGTGTAATGGTGTTTAATAGTGTGCTGCTGTTCCTCTTCAGGTTCTGGTTCTGGCTCCGACTCGTGAGCTGGCCATACAGGTGACCAAAGACTTCAAGGACATCACCAGGAAACTCTCCGTCACCTGCTTCTATGGAGGAAGCTCATACAACCCTCAGAGTAGGACATCCTCATCATCAGTGTGTGTGTGTGTGTGTGTGTGTGTGTGTGTGTGTGTGCGTGTGTGCGTGTGTGCGTGCGTGCGTGCGTGCGTGCGTGCGTGCGTGCGTGCGCGCGTGCGCGCGTGTGTGTGTGTGTCATATTTGTGTCACTGAGCATCTGTAGAAATAGAAAGATAATTTCTGAAACTGGATTGAATAACTTTTGGTGTGTATTATAGAACAGTAGTGTGATATTGTTAAAAGTGTGTGTTTGTTCCTGAGTGTGTGTGTTAACTGGATGACCTTGTGTGTGTGTGTGTGTGTGTCCAGTCGATGCGATCCGCAGTGGCATTGACGTCCTGGTGGGGACGCCGGGCCGAATCCGAGACCATCTGCAGAACAATAAGCTGGATCTGTCTCAGCTGCAGCATGTGGTGCTGGACGAGGTGGACCAGATGCTGGACATGGGCTTCGCTGAGCAGGTGGAGGAGATCCTGTCTGCCTCCTACAAGAAAGGTGTGCTGCAGCTGATAAACACGACTGTTAGGGGGGAACTGGGAAAGCACAACACATCATTATTGAG